CATTCCCCTTGGTGTTCATGATGCCCTTTGCTTGCTAATGTTCTCTGACAAACATTGAAGACCTCCAAAGAATAACTGCATATTTACTGGGATGAAATTACACAAAACTTGGACCTTAAAAAACAAAAAACAATCCTGCAACTTCTGGAAACAACTGGATACATACGTTTAGGAGTATCTGAGTTAAGGAGGGTGAAATCTAAACGCAACTTTTCAGATTTTATTCATTTTTCTCTTTTAAATGGGACCAGGCAAAAAGTTAAAATATTTAGTTGGTTCCAATATTCAAGCAGAGCAACTACAGCTAGAAAAAAAAATGACTAGTTCTGACCTTTTTGCTCCAGTGCAGACCATTTTCCCAGAGCTGAAGATAAGTGCGGTGGTCCTGGGCTCCCTTATTCTCATAATGACAGCAGCAAAACGCTAGAAAATTAACATTCAACAGTGTTAGCAGGAATGGCAGAAGTTTTTTTTTTTTGGGTTATATTAGACCATGTCTTAAACTTTGAACTCTGGTGGAAAGGATTATAGAGGTTAAAAGTCAAAGTAAATGTTTAAACATATTGAGCCCTGGTCCAAATGATGAAAATGAAACATACTGTTGGATGCAACAGGAAAGATAAAAAATGGTCTACCTTTGGGTTGTACTCTGCATTCCTGGCCCTCAGTGCAATAGTCTTCAGATCCAGCTTACAGCCCAGGTTAACAGTAGATACTATGTTTCTGAATGCAAAGAAAGTATAATGAAGCCAAAATAAGCTAACTTAGAATATAACAATGTAAATTTAACAACTGTAATGGCATAAAAGTTCACACAAAAAGCAAGAAATCAAAAGAGGAGTAACTCAGGAAGCACGCCAGTAATTAAACTAAAAAAAAATCTCTGACAATTGAAACACATGAATATGAACCGTACTGTAGCGTTGGTACAATGCCTGAGCACTCTGAGGCAGGTGTAGCCGGAGTGAGGGGGGTCATGGGGCCAATGGGAGTGCTGTAGAGACCAGTGCTTCCTGGCAGCGCCGTGGTAGTTGAGCCTGCATTTGTCTGGGAATGATAAAGCTGAGGGGTCTGCCCCGATGTTCCTGGAAGGCCTGAGGTTCAAAGATTGTCAAACTTTTTAAAGAATAGATCTAACCAAAGAAATATATTTACAACTCCTCTAATTAACTGCAGAGGACAGCAGTACGTATAATGAACTTTACCTGTATTTGGCTGCTGTGCTTGCTGCTGTTGCTGCTGCTGTTGTTGCCTCTGCTGTTCCTCCAGTATAGACAAACTGTTTGTGTTCTGTACAGGCTGGGGTGTCAGACCCGAGCCATACGTAATGGGACTGAACATTGTTATCCCTGGGGTCATGGCACCCTGAATGGGGACACATCACAGATCATTTGGATATATAGGTGAGGGCTGTATTTAAAGTCAATTAAACTGTGTGAGTGTTAGAGAAATCATTTCTAGGTTAGTTTTTATTCCCACACTTCCAAGATAACAGATTAGACCATTTACAAACATAAAAGATTAAACTTTAAATGCAAGACGGTTGCAAAAAGCTTAATATTTGTCTTTAAGTAACTTTCAGATACTTTAGATTTTTAGCTCATTCTAGTCATTATAATTTCAGTCACAATAGGTTTTGAACCAGAAGCAGTGAATCTATAAAACTGTACATAGTGATCTTTAAGTTTGAATCTGTACTGTGAGGCTACTTTGACAAAACTGTAGAGCAAATGCAAGAATAGTGGCAAAAAGGAAAACCCTCTCGGTTTACTGTGTGGTGGAAGGGGCTACCAACCTAATAACAGAGTCTGCATCAGCCTGGGTTTTACTAGGTGAAGACACTTTATTAGTGAAGGGCTGGTTATACTCCCACAGCTGTGTGTCACAGTGAGCTTTTCGCAGAGATTTTTGCCCAATTTTGAAGCGTGGTCTGCACTGTTATTCCACACCACAACGCAAAAGGGAAAATCAGGAACTAGCTGTGGGTCTAGATATGGCCGAGGCGGTGAGGAAGTGGGGGCAAGTTTGTGTGACAATGGAGGGACATGAGGGCGAAAAAGAGCAGGGATCCAGGTGGGAAAAGGGTCCCAGCGTTCTCAAACACCTCGCTCTTCTAGCTGGTCCAACTTCACGATTTTGTCGTTTTCCACAATGGTGGTCATACAAACAAAACAAGCTGGTATGGTACCAAACAGGAAATACGCATAGTGTAGAGCGGATGTAGATTTGACCAATCGGATGCCTCCTGTCCACGGTCACCTACAATTTTGGAGATGTGCAGCAGAGTGTTTGCGGGAGGGTTGGGGGCATATATGCGTTCACTGTGACACACATGCAGACGACGTGGTTTCTGAATACAAATCACACCAGCACTGCATCGTACGCATCTTTCTATCAGATTTTTTTTTCCCCCACAGAGTTTCATAATTCCTTTTAGCAGATTTTCTAAAGTGTAGAGTCTTCCCAAAAGGATAAGATTTAAAAAATTTTTACCCATTTGTCAAACCCTGGGACCTTGAGCTCTAAACAAAATGCTAAATTTACTTTAATCACAATAATGGACATAACACCAATTAGGATTACCGCAAGACCTGGTCCTTAATTTCAGACTACAGCTGGTAGATCTTTTCCAAACTACTACACAACAATGCATGGGATAGTTGTATCGTATGGTCTGGATTTTTCTGTGTGCGGTGGCTCTTTCATAAGGGAACAATCAAAGCACTGGAAGTCTGGAGTCCAGATCCACAAATTGCTTTTCAATTCTCTAAAACCCTCAGTTATAACTGTTGCTTGTGCAACTCTTTCTACCCCTTTTTCCCCACTAAATATCCCAGACAAAACTCAATCAAATTTTTTAGCTTACATTTTTATATGCCCTACAAAAATATATATATATATTTATTTTATTTATTTTCTATAATCTAATGCTGAGAAACTGAATTAATGAGACTGCCTTGTCAAAATGATACACATAAGACATGTTGAACTGTTGGTATTAGATTATCTTTTTTTGTGATATTCTACTTTTAATTGCATCTGCAAATATCAAGAGCAGTCGAGGTCCTTACCTGAGGAGAAGCCAGCCCTTGGAAGGGTGGTATGCTGTTGTTTTGGTCCATCTTTTTAGGGCTGCCACCCGTGAGTAGGCAGTCAGGCTGATGTGAGGAACTTTAAACAGCAGTTGTCTCAAAGCAGTAGGATATCAATGGTGTATCTGCCAAGGAAATGACCAGGGACCCAAATTCAGGACCTTCTGTCTCGCACGCAGCTGCAATTGAAAACGGAGACATATTTTTTCACAATTACAATACAATACAATAATAAAAACTTACTTCATTGTAGCAGTGGCGCGAAAGTCGAAGCTTATTATAAAACACGTTAAAATCTACAGCATTTCCACACTTGTCAATGAATTAGACAACTGTGCGTCAGGTCGACGTTTAACACATTCATATAACGCAAACTTTCAAGCGTGGTTAGTTTAAAGCTTTAAAGCCAAATATCGAACCTATTGGCGACGGTGACCAAACAGCGAATGTCGGTGAACACGAAGCAGCAGCAGCAACAACAAACCCTTTCCTAGCAGTTCGAAAAGGCAAATTATCTTAAACAATGAAGTTTATAATAACCTTGTTCTTAAGTTGAGACGCACACTGGTTCTTATTTGCGTTTGAACGCAGTCTACAGACAAAATACAGTTAGCCTTAGCTTCGTGTCATCCCCGGCCTGCTACTCGGCGCTTCTTCCTCTTCTTCTTCTATGGCGTTTTATGGCACTTTACAGACTATGTGTATTAATTACCGCCATCAACTGGAGAGAGATGTAATTCAAGAAAATAAAATAAAAAATGTCCTATATATCTTCAAATCTAAAAAAAAAACTAACTTAATTAAATACATACTTATACACTCACACACATAAATAACAAACCCTCTCATCTAATTGTGTGTCTTTTAAATACTTAATAAGTGCTTTAACTATATCATGTGATTGATGCTTCCCTAATAAATTAACCATATTTACTGAACTCCCCATTACCCTTTCCAGTTCTTTCCTCTCTTTTATATATTTTCTACAATAAATTAACACATGTTCTACTCCTTCTGTTTCCCCACAATAAGAAAAATTACCTGATGGATGTTTCCCTATCATTTTTAAACCACTATTTAAACTAGTATGCCCAATCCTCAACCTGTTTATCCATACCTATTTCTCCTATTCATTATACTATGGTTTCTTATGATTACCTGCTTCTGTATTTTATGTAAATGCATTCCACTTATTCTGTTCCCATGGCGATCATGCGTTGAGCTGTTACAGCCCACAATACAGCAACGGTTTACCATGGTTGAAATCAAGTTAAGGTGAAATTAATCAAATTAAAACACGGCTGAGAGGGAGTACAGTACCCGATAGTCATAGTCTGATAGTCTGAGCCGCGGTAAAAGACGCATTCAACATGGCGGCGACGCGAAGTGCCTACGTCACGACGACCAAGCCCTATTCCATCTCTCCTGCCATATTTATTTTTTTATTTAATAATTACTTTTATTTCTGCTCTACTTAATTGGACATCATATTCAATTTCTCTTGCTTTAACTGCTTCTTTAGCCAACTTATCTACTTTTTCATTACCTACAATTCCTTTATGTGGTGAAACCCATGTAAATTGAATACTTATTTTTTTTGTCGCTTTATATCATATAACAAATAACTAACTTCATCTAAAAGATCTTGACGGGTTTCAGCTTTTCCTCTCATTATACCTGTTAAGCAAGAAATTGAATCTGAACAGATAACTACCTTACTTACACTAATGCTGAAAAAAATTAAAAATGATCTATAGTTCTTCTTTTTATAAAAACTTTTTGTTTCGGAATATAAACTGCTACTCCTGTTTTACCATTTTCCTCTTTTGATGCATCTGTATATATTTGCGTCATATTTTCATACTACTCGGCGCTGACCGGAAAAAGAAGCTTTAACTTCCGGTGTGTCACAGTTGAGCGCAGACAGAGCAAAGATGGCGTCGCTGAGTGACAAATCAGTTTGGGATGAAGTGGAAGACGGCATCGGTGAAGAAGTTTTAAAAATGTCCACAGAGGAGATAGTTCAGCGGACTCGTCTCCTGGACAGTGAGATTAAGATAATGAAGAGCGAAGTGCTGCGAGTGACCCACGAGCTTCAGGCCATGAAGGATAAAATAAAAGAAAACACGGAGAAGATAAAGGTGAACAAAACGCTGCCCTATCTGGTCTCCAACGTGATCGAGCTGCTGGACGTGGACCCCAACGACCAGGAGGAGGATGGGGCCAACGTGGATCTGGACTCCCAGAGAAAAGGAAAGTGCGCTGTCATTAAAACCTCTACTCGACAAACCTACTTCCTGCCGGTGATCGGACTGGTGGATGCCGAGAAACTGAAGCCTGGTGACCTGGTTGGAGTCAATAAAGACTCCTACCTGATCTTGGAGACCCTGCCCACCGAGTACGACTCTAGGGTGAAGGCCATGGAGGTGGATGAACGTCCCACTGAGCAGTACAGTGACATAGGTGGGCTCGATAAACAGATTCAAGAGCTGGTGGAGGCCATAGTCTTGCCAATGAACCACAAGGAGAAGTTTGAGAACCTGGGCATCCAGCCACCAAAGGGAGTCCTGATGTACGGCCCCCCAGGCACTGGGAAGACCCTCTTGGCCAGGGCCTGCGCCGCTCAGACCAAGGCCACCTTTCTGAAGCTTGCAGGTCCACAGCTGGTCCAGATGTTCATTGGAGATGGAGCCAAGCTGGTGAGAGATGCCTTCGCTTTGGCCAAGGAGAAAGCCCCTTCCATCATCTTCATCGATGAGCTGGACGCCATCGGAACAAAGAGGTTTGACAGCGAGAAGGCTGGAGACAGGGAGGTGCAGAGGACCATGCTGGAGCTGCTCAACCAGCTAGATGGATTCCAACCCAACATGCAAGTCAAGGTAAACATGCTCCCAAGAATAAAACAAGACGCCATATGCAATTTGTCAATTGTAAAGGTCCGCATATAACGTATTTGGATTCTTGCAGATGATTTAGTATTTATATGTGGGGTTATCAATTTAAAACAAAGAGAAGCAATATGTGGAGGTGCCTATCACCAGATGGCCAGTATTATAACAAACTAGCCCTCATACTGGCTTTTTCTGCAGGAATATTTCACAGTAAAATCTTTTAATTCCCTGCTTGAAACTAAAACATCCATTTATTTATCTGATGCTACTAGACCTTTTAAGATTTTTTTGCTTTCAACCATTTATCCATTTATCTAGCAGTCTGCTCCACTGCAACTGATGTACTGTTTCTCTAAAACAAAGACAAAATAATTGCTCTTTACTAGATGACGGTCCAAAATTTTTACCTTTTTTTTTTTTTTTTTTTTTTTTTTTTTTTTTTTTTTTTTTTTTTTTTTTTTTTTTTTTTTTTTTTTGTGGTTGTAGGTGATTGCTGCTACCAACAGAGTTGATATTTTGGATCCTGCTCTCCTTCGTTCGGGTCGTCTGGACAGGAAGATCGAGTTCCCGATGCCAAACGAAGAGGCTAGAGCTCGCATCATGCAGATTCACTCCCGCAAGATGAACGTCAGTCCAGATGTAAACTACGAGGAGCTGGCACGCTGCACCGACGACTTCAACGGAGCTCAGTGCAAGGCTGTGTGCGTGGAGGCTGGCATGATCGCGCTGCGTCGCGGCGCCACAGAGCTCAACCATGAGGATTACATGGAGGGCATTCTGGAGGTGCAAGCCAAGAAGAAGGCCAATCTTCAGTACTATGCCTAAGGACACTAACAGTGTCTTTGTTTGTGTGAGAGAGATCTTTTTCATTTATTGGTTGTTAAAATAGTCACGAAACACTTGTCACTAATACTGATTATCTTGGGTTAATAAAAAAAGGGAAAAAATAAGCGGCGTTCTGTTTTCTTTAATTGTACTCAAAAACTGCAATACTTGGTGTTTGTCTCATTTTAGCTGCAGCAGAATCTCTTTTCCTTAAGTCTTCTCAAACAAATATTTTAGATTTTTGACAAACCAAACAACAGTTATTCTACTTGTAGAAATTGGAAGGTTCTTGTTGACAAGAAGTTAAAAGTCCCATAGCTTAATTTGGGTAACTGGCCAAGCTAAAAGAGGCTAACCTGTTAGCTACTGAGCAAAGCTATCCATCGTGCTATCCAATTCTAGCCTTTATACTATTGTTTTGCAGTTATTTATTTAACAAAAAACTTATCTTTTCAGTTTTGTCACCCATCAGGTTGAACTAGACTAAATATGGACTCTGCATTATGTTATTAATGCAACAACAATGTTTTATGTCATTGTGGCCAAAAGGGTAATGTCATTGACATGAACAGGATCAGAACTTTATCAGATGTGGGCCTGTACACTCAGCCCATATATCGGCATTGGATTGAATCTGAAAAAAAAATGGATTGGTGCATTTCTAAATCATATAAGACATAAATCTGCTAAGTCTACATTATAGGAGAATTTTGATATCTTCTCAGATTGGGCAAAAGTAATTCAGCTCTGCATAAATAACGACTTTTTCTCTCCTCTAACATTTAAGATCCTCAAAGAACAGTCCAAATCCCTAAAAAAAAAAAAAAGGTGATAAGGTTTTTACATTTTGAGTTCTTCCTCACTTCTATCAGTGAGCCCCAGGGCAGCTACAATGTAGCCACAGCAGTGTTAGACAACTTTGATTGTTTAATTTTGTACAGCTTTCAGAATATTTTCATTGCATTAAAGTACAGCAGTGATTAAGTGTAACAGTGTGGAAGGGAAAAAAAAGGTGAAAAAACGCCTTTATACATAAGTTCAGAGCATTAAATGCAAAAATGCTGAATTTTGGTTTGGTGTTATCAGTGTGATGCAGAGTCTGGGACATGATCAAGATTTTTCTTCAACAGTTCAGCTGTCTAAGGGAAGTGGGGAAGAAGCTGTTTTGGAATCGACTGGACCTGCATTGAATGCTGCAAAGCCTCTTCCCAGAGGGCAGCAGGTAGAACAGTCCATGGTGTGTGAGTGTGTTCCTGAATGGGTGAATGACTGAATGTAGTTTAAAGCACTTTGGTTAAGTCTGGTGACTTGAAGAAAAGCGCTACAGCCATTTACGGTAAGAGAAAATCAGTGCTGGAAGATTTTAATTTTTTTTTATTTTTCTACTTTCTAAAATAATTTAATTCTAATTTAATTAAATTATTTAATTTCTTATATAGATTGTGTATTGTCTTGCAAAGGTATTTGTATTTCTGAAAGGTTTTTACATATTTTTTCTTTTTATAGCAAACACATTCAGTGGATTTTATGCAACAGATTAACACATTCCAAAATTACTTAATAATTGTGTGCATGGGGATGCTTCTGAGTGTCGCTACATTCTTATTCATCTATCCCCCTTGTTTATACCATGGAATTGTTGTATCAGACTATTAATGGTTCTCTCTTGCAATCAGAAATGCCAATCAATCTGCAAATTGGCATGGAACTCTGTGTCAAGATTACTAACGATTGAAAGCAACAAATCTGCCCATTGAAGTTGCCTTTTGATACAAGGTCCATTTGTGGTCATGAAGACTCAGAACCACCACAGATGGGTCAGGAATAAATCCAATTCAGTTTATTTATAAAGCACCAATTCACAACACGTCATCTCAAGGCACCTTACAGAGACTATTCAATCAGAGCATACAGTCAGATTAGTTCAAAGTTTTCTATCTAAGAAAAACCAGCTGATTGAATCAACTCACTGACTCGAAGGCAATCCCTCACACCAAGCATGCTTGAAGTGACAGTGGAGAGGAAAAGTTCCTTTTAACAAGAGGAGGCCTCCAGCAGACCCAGGCTCGGTGTGAGCAGCCATCTGCTGAGGCCTAACTGAGGTTCAAGGAGACAGAAGCAGACACACAGAAAGAAGCAAAGATACAAAAGGCAACTGTCAACCAGCTTCACAGGCGGCCCTCTCCTGGAAACACACAGCAAGGCAGACGAGCTCCAACACAACTCCCATGTCAGAGGATGACAGAGAGCTACTCTGAAAAACAAGCCAAGCTCCAGCATCTATAAACAAAGGTGTTGATGGCAGCAGCACAGCTGATATTTCTCTCCAGGATGGAGTCACAGCCAAACACGAACAGACCAGATGAAGCTACAATGAGAAAAAGCATACAGATCATAGCATTAGAAATTGAACTAACAGATTCTGCAGAGTGGGAGAAAAGAGATAGAATGATGAAATGGGGGTCCCTATGTCCTCCAAAAGTCTAAGCCTATAGCACCATAACTAGAGATAGCTCAGGAAACCTGAGCCCCTCTGAATATATGCTTTATCAAAAAGGAAAATTTTAATCCTAGTCTTAAAAGTAGACAGTGTGTCTGCCTCACGGACTAAAACTGGTAGTTGGTTCCACAGGAGAGGAGCCTGATAACTAAAAGATCTGCCTCCCATTCTATTTTTAGAAATTCTAGGAACAACTAGTAAACCTGCAGAGTGAGAGTGAAGTGCTCTGTTAGGAACATAAGGAACAATCATATCTCTGATATAAGATGGAGCTTGGCCATTTAAGGCTTTATATGTGAGAAGGAGGATTTTAAATTCTATTCTGGATTTAACAGGAAGCCAATGAAGAGAAGCCAGGATAGGAGAGATATGATCTCTCTTTTCAATTTTCCTCAGAACTCTGGCTGCAACATTTTGGATCAGCTGAAGACTTTTAACTAAAGTTTGCGGACTTCCTGATAATAAAGAATTATGATAGTCCAGCCTTGAAGTAAGAAAAATTGACTATTTTCTTTTATCAGACACTGTAGAGACCTCTTTGATGTGGCATTTAAATGACAGGCTCTGTTAAAAAATAACACTTAGATTTTTTACTTTATTATCTGAGATGAATTTAATGCCATCCAAATGAAGTGACTGACAAATCAGCTCCACAGGTAACCCTGGAGGATGAGAAAGATTTATCATTAATTTGAAGAAACTGGAATTGATCAGATAGATACGATTTAAACCAGTCAAGCGCTGTTCCTTTAATTCCTAAAAAATATTAAAGTCTTTCTAAAAGAATATTATGATAAATTGTGTCAAATGCAGCACTGAGATCTAAGTACAGATACAAGTCCATAATCTGAGGCCATGAGAATATCATTAGTGACTTTCACCAGAGCTGTTTCAGTGCTATGATGAGCTCTAAAGCCAGACTGAAACTCTTCAAAAAGTTCATTATGGTGTAAGTGGTCATACACTAGTTTGGCAACTATTTTCTCAATAATTTTAGATAAGAAAGGAAGATATCGAATAGGTCTATAACTGACCAAGTCATCTGAGTCAAGAGATAATTTCTTAAGTAAATTTTTAATTACAGCAACATTAAAACCCTGAGGTACCTGTTATCCTGTAACAGGGGCAGATTAATCACATCTGAAATGGAGATAATAATCAAAGGGAATACATTCCTAAATAACCTGGTTGGAACTGGATCTAACATACAGGTTGAAGGATTAGATGAAGACAATAGTTTTGCTAACTCTCAAAGTTCAACTGGATCAAAGTTGTCTAAACCCAGTTTAGATTCTATGGTACCTCAGATGCTGCCTTACCTTCCAGAGATAAAACAATAATATTCAGAGGGGTGCTAATTGTCTTATTTTTAATAGAATCAAGCTTATTTATAAAGAATTCCATGAAATCGTTACTGGTAAGAGCAGGTGGGATGGACAGATCAACAGAGCTATGGTTCTGGGTGAGTTTTGCGTATGAGAATGAACAGTGGTGTCAAAAGTACACACATTTGTTACTTGAGTAGAAGTATAGATTCTGCAGTTTAAAAACACTCTGGTAAAAGTGTCAACTTGACCTCTTTACTCAAGTAAAAGTGAAAAAGTATGTGCTAAAAAAACTACTTCAAGTATAAAAGTATAAAGTAACCTTTGAAAAAAAAAACAGCCAGATTCCACTATATGAATTGAAAGCTCAATGTTTTGACTATTTCGAAAAATTCTTTGAGGAAGGTCCAAGGTTGAGGGAGGTCTTGTTAGTCTCTGTCTCCATCTCCCGATACACTCTCGTCTGTGTCCGACCTTTCAGAAATTTCAACATCTTTATCTGAATCCGACATTTTAGCATGGCATAGACAATTCACGTTTGTAGTTTGAAGAACACCTGCTTGCTTCTGATGATTCCCTTTAGCTAACCAATGAGTGTTTGCATTATATGACTCATCCAATTACACTAATTTTCACAAGGTGTGGATGGAGCCAATGATCTGCATTGGATGGCGCACATGATATGAAAGAAATATTTATAAACATAAAACCAAAGCCAAGAGTAAAGAGTAAGGTTTGTCTTATAAATGTAAGGAATAGAACGTACAGATACTTGTGTGAAAATGTAATGAGTAGAAGTCAGAAGTAGAAAGAAAAATAAGTAATGGAGTAAAGTATAGATAACTAAATAGTGTACTTAAGTACAGTAATGAAGTATTTGTACCTCGTTACTTGACACCTCTGAGAATGATGTTGTGGAGAAGTTTAAATCACTTAGGTTCTAAACAATTTGCTTGGTTGTGAGCATGTTAAAGGGCTCAGTTTGGCCTGAAAAGGCAATTTGGAAGAACTGAAACAACAAGGCAACTGACTAAAACAAACTTATCCATAAAAAACAATTTGCCTGTAAAGAGAGTATTCATCAGAGAAGCACTCAGCCGGTCCTTGGTAACTCTGGAGGAGTTGCAGAGATAAACGACTTATGTTGGAGGATCTGACACAAACACTGTTGGTTGCTCATTCTACAAATCTGTCCTTTTATATGGCAATACAAAAGCCATGTGGAGTTTTGCTTAGTCATTAGCAAATCATATAGGACACATTTATACGTTGAAGATAATCTGGTCAGGTGATTCTAAAA